CATTAAGTCAACCCCCTCGGCCACCTTCCCACTGTAACAACCTGTGTACAACATAAAGCAGGTGGCCAACTTGTTTTACAGCATTTAAGCTTCAACCACCACTTAGTATGCCTTTGAACAAGCAATACAGAATGGTTGGAGAGATAAGGGACTGTTGCCCCTGTGCTACAACGCACTTGCTCATTCTACCGCCCTTCCCCATCCTCCCTGAAGCTCCCAGTTTCTGCACACACGTGCTTGGCAGGAACGACGTTGCCGTACAAACTGGAATCAAAACACACCCCCTCATCTGCACTGGTTCAACCAAAACCCCTCGCTCTTCCTCACCACGCTGGCACACGTCGAGAGGCAGAAACAACCCACCCTCCACGAGGAGCGGGAGATGCCTCTGTACATTAAGCATCAGTGCAGAACAGCACCTCGGCATTTGGTGGCCAAAGCCCTGGACCACTGCTGCCACGGTGACAACAGCAGGCATCGATGCCAAGTTTTTATTACAACTTGTGTGCATTTATCCGCACCGCACCACTTTCAGAGGTTTCTGCGCCTGTGATGGCATGCTGTTATTTTTTTTAAACAGGCGTTGTTCTCCACAGCTGTAAAATGGACTACTCGCTTGAGAGCAACCAAAAATTACACACCTTTCAAGATGGGTCAAACAAGCGCCTCAGCCTCAAACACAGGGTAGAAATTGTGACAAGCAGTGTATTAAGGAAGGAACTTTATAGCTTGATGATTGTATGTGACAATACAGAAGGAGTCCTTTCTTCCAGTAACTGCCATTTGCTTATTTTTAAAGAAGATAATAAAAGTGACATAATAAAACAAAATGCTTAAAAATTAAACCAAAGCCATTTTTTTTTTCTCTCAGATGTATAGAATGGTAAAGGAAAAATAATTTAAATCATTTCCTTAGTAATACAAGTAATATTTAAATAGATTTAATAGTGCTGCTCCAAACCAATGAATTATGAGTTTAAAACCTATTAAAATGTAATGTTTTTTTCCTGAGCTGAGGGGAGAGAGATTTAAATCCACTGAATTTTAATATTTCAGCTTGAGCTGCAGGAGGTAGAGAAAGTCCAAATGAACTATTCCATCAGCACCATTCAAGCATGAACATTTTAATCAGTTTTACTTCCTTGGAGTTCTCCAACACAGTTTACGCTGTCATTCTGAAAGCACTTAACACAGAGGGTGTGAAAAACCACCAAGGCTTGTTATTGCCTTCACAATTGATGGCAAATAATTTTGCAGACTTCCTATCATTAAAATGTCACTGCTAAAAATTGAGGTTCAGCATTTCTTGTGCTAAACTGCATTTTCTTTGAACACCATCACATACCTGTTCTTAAGTTTTTGGTACATTTATCTCTCTCTGTGTGATAAACAGGCACACAAGCAGTAGCCTCCATTTCTGCCTTACTGCCCAACTGCAGTTGAAAACTGACTATTTTAAATAGAGGGAAAAAAAAATAATACTCTGATAAAATTCTTATAAAGTTACAAGTTAATTTGCTGGTTCCCTTATTAAAACGTAACCACATTCATACAGCATGTTCTGATTATATACTATAATGGATGTTAAAAAAAAACAAACCACCAAACAAAACAAAACACCCCCCCAAAAAAAAACCCCACAGAAAACCCCCAAACATTTTAAGAGTAATAACACAGGAAATGAAACCATCATTCCTAATTAGATCATATTACTGATTTAAGGCTACAATTTGTGCGTTGTTTGAACAGTGTGATCTTGCAGATTATAATTTAAAAATGTGGCAGCTATGACAAACGACAAGATCAACTGGATACATCCCACTGCTCATCCCAATACACCCAACCTGGAAAGGAGCTCTGGATATGCACTACAAATTGCTCCGAGCAAGAATGCTGTACCATACCGTCCGTGGCAAACACCAGATGCAGAGCCTGGATGCCTGCAGATTTACAGTCCTGATGCAGCATGCTTATGAGATCTAGTTTTGGTTTAGTTTTTCTCCCTGCATTTCTCCAGAAGAAGATAGATGATATTTAACTTGTTTCAGCCCGTCAACAGTTTTAAACTGAACATGACCTGTGAAAGAAGTCATTATAACTGTGTTTCATTCCATTAAACACAACTAGTTTATTGTCAGGAGAACAAGCAGTCTCCCCGGGTTCCAGGCTCACTTCAGTATTTTGCATTTAAACTGCACGGATCAGTGATTTGCTTCATTTACCAATGAAGATAGAATAATATTGCAAAGTTAAAAGGTGCTTCATCAGATTCCATTAAATCAGAGCACATTCAGACAAAAATATATACACGTGAAACACAAAGAGAGACATGATTTGCGCACACTTGATTCTTTTCTTGTGCCATCCTCTGTTCTGGTAAAATCCATTTTAAACTCAAACCCAGGGTTCCTCCATACTAACCAAAGGGGTTTAGCACGTGTGAGGTCAACAGAATAGGGCCCCCCAAAGCACCAAGAAACTTAAGCTACAGTTGTATTTCAAAAATTCAAATACTGCTTCCGTCTTTGTCTGATACACAGCTCAATGAGTAACTAAAAGGTATATTTTTAAAAACTGTAGAGAGCAAATGAACTTCAGAAGCTTTTAAAATATCTCAGGGTTAAAAGAACACAAACTCTGTCAGACCTATCAAGCAGTAAAATAACGTAAGACAACATAATTAGAGATATAGAAAAGCCGTGATTTCTAATTACATTCTTTGTTTTATTTTTATTGGTATTCACTTTACAAAGTATGACAAGCCTTTTTTAGTTTCATGCTACATTTTCAGACTTTAAATCTCTCTAAGGGCAGGCATAACATTATTGTGGGTATTCACGCAACCAGATCTTAAGCTTTTTTGATAACTTGCTTTCCAATTTATTCCATTTTTTTAATTAATCTCTTCAAGATTGGATTAGATTACTTCCGTTTAAACCTGATGAACACAAAATTTTCAGTCCTTATTGCTCCTGTTCCTCTAAAGTAATGAGAGGGCCACACAGCATTTCCTAAGCCAACATAAAACAGGAGAGTGAAAAAAGGCAGTAGAGCAAGGTAAAAATCAGTCTCATGAGGGAGGTGACAGCTGTCCCATTTTAATACACAAAACCAAAATTCAGATGTTATGAAAATTTGAGGCAATAGAATTTCAATTGACTTGAAGAGATAAATCAGACAGCAACAAACAAAACAGAAAATTTACTTCTGTCTGGTGGGGTAACACCAACAGAAGTTACTGCCAGGCTCCCAGACAAACATTTAGTCTGTTTGTGTTTATTCCGTGTGGTTTAGTGGTTCATGAAAGCAGGATAAACTTAAATAACGAGTGCGATAGCCAGTATATATACCATCACGTTTTACACCAATCAACTTTTTCTTTACTAGAATGCAAATTGCCTTTTGCAGTCTCCTTCATACATACAAAGGTGAAAGGCAAAACTGTACACAAGTAGACTGTGAAATATTCATACACATGCGTGTGCACATACGCACAAACACAAAACGGTACGTGCACATATAAACACACGCTACGTACACACATGCAGCGCACATACAAAAACTTCTTTAACAAAGAAGCCAACCTTTAGCTACTTACTTTATGCAAAGAATGTTAATAGAAGGCAATATTTTTGGTTAGGTAATGAAAACTAATTGGGAAATTATTCATCTCCCACTCTCCCCACTGGAGCGTAAAAGACGTACAACAAATGTTATTCATGATTCTACACGACTCGCTCCGATTCACCCCCTTCTTTCTAACGGGCACTTCAGAGGAAATAAAGGTTACTCTCTTCCATTTATATCTTCTAATTGACTACCAGTGTTTTCTTGTGGTCAGAGGGATACAAAATAGAGTAAGAAACAGCCTATTAAAAACAAGCTACAATCAGACCGCTGCTCTACACTACCATCAGCAATGATCAGAGAGTCCTGATTTCCTTGTTAAAAGACAGAGGCATAATTGAAGCAATATCTTCACTTCAGATTGATTATTCGGCGACCCTTATCCACATCTTCACTCAGCAATTTGAATTTTAATGAAAGTAAATGGAATAATTAGCATTTCAAAGTGTGTTTGATACACTGAATAAAAAAAAGGAAAAGACTTTCATGTATAATCTATACACAAAAGAAAAAGCATTTGGGAGGGCGCAGAAGATGGGAAGTACAGTTGTAGTGTCTTCATTAGAATAACTTAAACAACTGCTTGCACCAGCTGCATAATTATACATGTGAATAATGTGCTATTAAGCTATGACTTCTCACCTTTATTTTATGTAGTGTGAACAGCCACAGCTTTCCTTGTTACGCCTTTCCTCTCCAGTTGTAAAATGTAAACACTGTGGCTGCCCACACCCATAAAACCTGACAGGACTGATGCACCGGGCTAATACCGCTGGCAGTAAAGCTTTTTACAAGAGGGGCTCCACACACCCATATCTTTGGATGACTAGGAGCAGGGCACCTATGAGTGCCGTGGGATGAGTCATTTTGTTGTCAATTTAGTTTGGTTTTTTTTTTGTTTTGGTTTTGTTTTGTTTTTTTAAAGTAACAGCTATTTTTTAATGTAAAACTAGAAAGTGTGGTGAATATTCACAATCTTGAACCATCACCCAGAAAACAATGTGGGCAGAAGGGATGGGAAACACCCTCCTGAAGCACAGCGTGTCATTCGAAGGCTACCGGTTACCGCGGCTGCAGAAGCAGACCGGCATACGGTACACAAAGTAAGCAATGTTATTTAAAACGGACAACAAAAAAACAGATACTGACCCAGCTCTGGGGAATGGATACAACACCAACATTAATAACCCCATTAGCCTTCTCGGCACAGCGCAAGCAAAAGTTTTCATGTAGTAACCAGCTTTTGTGAAGACAAAGATACTGAACTGCCCACAACTTTTGCCCACCTGATGGAAATGAGTTCACGCAAGACAGAAAGAAAAAGAAAAGCTATTTGCAAACACTATTAGAGCTAAAATGGAAAGACCACATACCCCAATGATTGCGTTCAGTTCTGCCATGGTCACTTGTTTGGCACGCTCCACAGCCTGCACCACTTGTTGCTGGTGCTATAAATGAAGATCAGAAACAGAACAAAATTATTTATTTCATAAATTATTAAGTACAGATGCTTCCTTTTATCTTCTTTCCTTGCTTCTCAAACACAAGCAGGGCTTGAAATAACTGTTCTCTAAGAGACGGTCACATTATGTGTTGATCTGCAAGAGTAGGTAAGGGCAGCGTTTTTTTATGCCATTACTTGCCAGGAATTATACCTGTGCTCCCCAAAGACCTATTTTACAGCCTGGCTAAACAGGGAACTGTCTCTCTTTAGTTCATCAGCACATTGTGCTCTTGAATTTGCATGCCAACTTAAAATGCAAGCCACTTCCCTTACAGCCAAGGAAACTTTTTGATTTTTTTATTTTTTTTAAAAAAAAGCATACTGAAAAAGAAAGGTACGTATTTTCAACAAGCACATGGCACCCACATCACTGACGGATATATAGATTCTCCTTCTAGGTACATTTCAAAGCAGCTCAACCGTAAGAAAGAAATTTAAAATGCCATTCACAATTCTGTCAAACACGTGAAAGAGAACTAATTATTTCAATCCCCAACATGTAAATTTTAATAGCTTTAAAAAGTCCATCAAAAACACATGGTCTAATTAACAACACAGTTTACAAGCTTCAGTGGTTATATTATCTCAGTTTGAGTGATACTGTATTCCTGCAGTAAATTCAAAATTGCTGTACGCTGAAAACTGATTGGTATTTATTTGAAAACATCGACTACAAATAAAATAAGGTCCTCATCTTGCAAACAGATCTGTGCCTGTTTTGGAGATCCACCAGTGGCAAATTCATCTGCAGAGGCAGCCTCACAGGATCAGGATTACACGCAACAAATTGGTGCAAGGGAGGGTCAGGGAGAGCTGCAAGTAGGTTGTGCGATCTGCACTGGGAGTGAGTCATCTTTGATTTACAGCCACAGGTTGAGCAGAGAGAGGAATGAGCTCTGCCTATCCCAAGAGGTGCTGAAACCTCGCGAGAGAAACATCAGCTCTGTATCGAAACCAATGTCTAGCTGTTCTTCGGCACAAAGTTTAAGGAAAGGGCTGAGAGGGTCTCTTAAAGCCTCCAGTTTGCCCCCCTCCCGCGCCCTATGGCTGTGTACGTGGGCAGAGCAGAGCCAAGGTACATCCCACACAGCAACACCTCCCCTGCATCCTTACCAGGGGCAGAAAGCTGCATCCGATAAGGTGGGGACCCAAACCCTCAAGGCTTCCTCCAACACAAAGAGTAGATGAAGAGCATCATAAAGACTCCCTGAGCCCCGCTGGGAGAGGGGCCCGTAAGGAAGCACTCCGCTAACTGGGGGCTTGGCAGTCATAGATTTGCCACTGCTCAGCGCCACACACAAACAAAAACAGCATTTTCACTTATAAGCTCTCTCCCATAAAAGCCTTCAGGGAGAGGAAAAGGAAAAGCAAGCCTAAAAATCCTCCCATAACCATAAGAAGTGCTGACCTCAACTACGAAAAATTGATAAATGCAAATAACGAAGGAGGTAATTTAGAAACACTCTTGGAAGGAAGAAAATGGTTTTAAGGTTTGTTTGTTTTTAAACCAAGAAGAATTAAATGAAGGAAATGCCAGGAGAGCAAATAACATACTGCTGCAAACAGAATCACAGCAGTCCCATTTAGAGTTTTGTAAAGCTACAGTGCTAACGTAAACCAAATCTGTCACTTATAAGCAAACAATGTAAAGGACAAAAAGCAGGCGAAACACAAGCAAATGTGTTCTTGGCATTCAGAAAAGAAAATTAAAAAAAAATGCAGTTGTGTATCACCATCACAGATAACCAGTAAAAAGAAAATTATGATACTCAAGCCTCAAGTTCCTGACGATGTGTTATTATCTCCGGGTCATCACATGTTAAGGACAGGTACAGTTTTCATTGATTATGTAGCCAAAAGCCTGGTGACACATGGCTCTGTGTGGCATCGGGGTGATCATAAAAATTACACCACCATTTTCTGGTGGAGGTCAGCCACACAGCATTTTTCATCAAGTCATCTAAAAAAAACCCCCAAAAATGCATTTTAAAAATCTTCAAAATTATGTAAAAAAAAAAAAAAAATAATAATTTACTGAGAAGTTTACAGTTGCCTTTGCTTTCCTACCATTTCCTAGGTAGGAAAAATGCATTTTGCGCTGAGGTAAAGAAAGCAACCTAGCTCTTGATTTGTATAGACCCATTTACTTAAATCCTGTTCCAAGGACCACAGGTATAAGAAACTTCTGAGGGACCTACAGAAAGCTATCCTGAAAGCATCAAAGTTATTGTAGAAATTATTCCAATGTTCATCCAGGTTTTCGAAAAATAAAGTCAACTCCACAAGAGTTTGAATGTTTTCTTCTCCCTTACAGCAAATATACAAAGCATGGCTCTGAGGAATATCTGGGAAAAATATTATTTTGCTCCAAGGTGAGGGGAAGAGAAGGTGGAGGTGTAGAGTACCAAAACCTCACTTTAAGATTTCTGCTAGAAAGCACTGTAAGACAGAAATTCCCTAAGCATCCACACAAGGCATCTTTCATTGATTCTAATAGGTTTGGGATCAAGCCTTCACAGAGAGGAGAAAACCCATGGGCCTTGTAACGCTGAACCTAAATTAGGTATGGTAGAGACAAGTAAAACTCTCGTATTGCTAGCTGCTTTAACATTGATTTAATCTTCAGTGGCATAGTATGCAAAAGACCCAAAATAGATGGCCTGTTATTAGCCTCTCCACCACCTCCACCTTGCCGCAGCAACCGAGCATCCTTCCCCCTCTGCTCCCCAAAACCCCATGGGGGGTGTCCTGCCCCAAGTGACCCTGGGGCTACGCCAAGTCTCAGGCTCAAATCCCATGCTCCCGCAGATACAGACGTGGGGAGGCAGAGTCCCCACACAGGCTGTGAAGAGCCCACCGGCTGCCCCTGGCATTTCTGAACCTGGGGTGGGTGTGGGGCTCAACCTTACCGACCCCAACTCCAGTAAAGACTTGGGTCTTTTAGTCTAGAGAAAAGAAGACTGAGGGGGAATCTTATTAATGCTTATAAATACTTAAAGGGAGGGTGCCAGGGGGATAGGAACAGTCTTTTTTCAGTGGTGCCCAGTGATAGGACAAGAGGTAACGGGCACAAACTTGAGCATAAGAAGTTCCGTCTTAACATGAGGAGGAACTTCTTTACTTTGACGATGGCAGAGCACTGGCACAGGCTGCCCAGAGAAGTTGTGGAGTCTCCCACTCTGGAGACATTCAAAACCCTTATGGACACTGTCCTGTGCAACCTGCTGTAGGTGACCCTGCTCTGTCAGGGGGTTTGGACTAGATGATCTCCAGAGGTCCCTTCCAACCCTGACCATTCTGTGATTCTGTATGGGTGGAGAACTCTACAGGCAGAGAAGGAGCCCGAGCGGGCACCAGGTACCCACCGCAGTCAGAAACCCAGGTGAAGGGCAGGGAGCCCAGGGGCCAGTCCGGCCAGCCAGCAGCTGGCCAGCCTAGCCGGTGCAGATACCCAAGGATGAACGGCTCCAGTGCCTACTGCCTGCCTGAATGCCTGCCCCAGCCAGCGTGCCCGTAACAAGCAGCATTACGTTAAAACCAAGCAGTACACATTAGCCTGCCCATCAAGTGATCACGTAGCGATTTACAGCCAAGTAAAAACAGCAACAACAACAACAACAACAACAACAAAAAGGGTTACTTTTTTCCCAACCAAATAGAGACACAGGGTTGCAGCTTTCACACACGTTTAATGCTAGCCTTCCACTGTGCACACAAGCAAATGACAGACCCATTTGCTTCAGTTATGGGAAAACAGTATTTTGCATCACATTTAACAGGCCCGAGCAATGAACTCAACACCCGGCCCCGCCTGTCACGCAGACTAGTATCATTTCTCCTTTTTAGCTTCTTCCCTGTCTCTTCTCTTCACCCCTTTTTGCTTTCCGTAACGAGCGGTGTGTCTGCACTTGCCTTGTGTTGGAAAATCACCTCCTTTCAGTCTCACGGTGGGTAGCAACAACAGAGACCACAAGAAGGATGTATGCTTTTTCGCCATCACGTTGTCTCACCGCACCGTCTTGCCACCGAGCCCCGGCTGCTGCACAGGCATTGCCGCATGGTGGAAAATACCTGGGCTTTTTATACCGCCTCAGGTACCCCCGCAGCTCCCAATGACAGGGGGAGCCATCCTGACAGCAATCGAGTGGCCAAAATTTGCCCTGGCGCGCACATACGGATGCCGGTCTTAAGAACACCTAATTCCAGCCTGTCTCCAACCCCGCCAACAACATCCAAGGCAAACCTCACTGAATGATTGACTCTGCAGAAGCAAGCGCGCTCTGCTATGTTTTATTCATATTATTTTGTTGTTGTATTATCTGTTTAGAGGGAGTACAGAGCAGGTCTTCCTTAAGAACTGCAGCAGTGCCATTCTGAAAAGCCCGATCTGGAGACAGCGTAATGAGATGAGGCCGTGACAAAAACACTAGTGGCAACGGGGGAGCAAACACACGTGTACCGTGGAGAACACCACACGCTTAGAAAACTAAAAGGGACCAGCAGGTTCACTGCATCCAGGCACCGTAACTCAGACGTGATATAATAACCTCTTCGTAAAAACGTAGGAACATTATTGGCAATATATGCATAAATTGCTAATAAAATGCTTTCCTTGAAGGATTACACATACCTGACAGCTTCCTTGTACTTACTGTTTCAGCTCTAGTCTGGAGCAAGTCTAAGATGGGGGAAAAGAATTTTGTCTTCTCAGACTCCCACATCTCAGACCAACAACTACTTCCATGTGAACAGCATGTAAGGACTCCTGCTCTGCTTCTACATAATGGATCTCACATTCTTCATCCAAATTCACTGAACTTTAGAAGTACCTCTAGGGAATGTATGTACAGAGAAGAAAGAGCAAGCATGTTATGGCCCATATCTATCTTGTAAAAGGAAAGCCATCAATTAATATTAAAGTGAAAGGAAAAGACTGCACACGGCATTTCCTTTTTCTCTGTTTGTTTGCACGTATGCATGCCAGTGCTTGGCATTTTATTATACTTCTAAGTACATCTGACCACCTTATGGTGCACAGGGAACTGAGGATCCCTATTAAAGAGCAATCCTTCTAGCTTGTTATTAGCCAGTTCACTGACAGCTGGAACAGAAGGCGCACCTTCTGAGAAAGTTTATTGCAGCCTCCTCCAGCCTACGTAATGCTTCCATGGAAGTTGACAGGCGACAATACCGCGAACATTTGTCTGGCTTCTCAAGCAGCTTTTGCAGGTTGTGCTGAGCTCCAGGTTGCCACAACTACATCGTTAGCTGTAAATCAGCCAGCTTGCGTGTGTCTCATGAATATAAGCACAGTCAATATTTACTCAAAAGAAGGTAACCCTGATGTATGAGTATCTCCAGCCACACTGAACAAATACCACTATCCAGCACATGAGGTCATTCAGCACTCGATAGCCCACAGGGTCCCACAATGATAGCCACAGGTTGCAGCCAGACACACACGCCGCTTTGACCAGACAGGAACCAGCCCCAACTGGAAAGCCACAGGATTGTGCAAGCGTCACTCCGTGCTGTAGCTCGTAAATTCGGTGGAGAAGAAACGTAAATTAGCAGAGGCATGATCTACAGCTTTAGACCCAAAATGAATTGCATCTTACTGGCTAGATCATTCAATGATGTGAACATGAAATTATCTATACCAGCTGCAGCAGACCAAAACTACATTAACTGGGTTGTAAAAACCTCCCAAGTATTTACCTACAACCTTGCAGGCACCCCCTTCACCTTATGCAATAGGAACTACTTGAGCACACTGGTATCTCACAACATCGCAGGGAGGTGGAAAATGACTGTTGCAACACAGGAAGCCTGCAACCATGGCAGAAATTGAACACACATCACCCCTGAGGTCCATCTCATGCCTCAACCACAAAGTCACTCCTATCAAAATGGGAACCTGGTACTTCTTGGTGCCGTTTTTCAGTCTCTGTAAGTCGGTAAAAACAAGGTACCACTTGACTGCGTATTTAGGCAGGTTAGGAACTTTATTTTCAATATATGCTTAGATGACATACAGCACAGTAAAACTGACTGAAGCCTGGAGAACTTCCCAAATACTTCACTGCGTTGCCCCCTGAAACAAAGCATGCACTAGTACACAGCAGGGTGATGTATTATAATTGCATCCTTTTCATGAGATCTCTAGCGATTTTGGCCACGATTTCTTACTTCTAAGTGAGTTATCGCAACCCATTGATTCCTTACAAAGTTAACAAGCAGTAAGACAAGTTAACCTGGTGCTATTATGAGGCAATAATGTTGCCATCAGTGCATGTAACCACTGTATTTTGTTCATTTTTCCCTCAGGCCCAATACAAAGGAGCCTGATCACATTTTTCAGCCACTATTCCACAATTAGACTGTATGCAAAATGCATAAACAGCAAAAGCACACTGCAATTCAATTCTCTATTAATCTAGATGATGAAATAAAGAGGTTTCCATTAAGACACTCACTTTTTAAAGACACAAATTAGATAGAAACCAAGACTAGCAGAATACTCAAATCAGTTCTCTTTTGCCTCATCAGCGTACGCCAATATAAGCTGATTTAAATAAGTGTTTCTACTAACAGAGGTCAAACAATTAACAGATTTTCCTAACACCAATATGAAAACTATCACTATCAGTGGCACTGTCAAGACACGTGAAAAGTTGTTTTGTGCTTCCCCTTTCAATCCCCCTCTGCTGTCTAATCCCCCTCCCCTCTTGCTAGGTGAACTAAAAAGCACACTTTGCCTCCACACAAGTTGAACGTGCACACTGGTTTTTCGGAAGTGGTCCCTTTTGTCTTTGTCAATGCATGTAAAAACGCTAAAGTTGTGAACTTTTTTTGACCTCTCCATCTCATCTGTAGCCCAAAGAGCTCTGACATCATGCAGCATGCATAGAGGACGTGTAAGACCTGGCAAACGAGACGTGCAAACAGGTGAAGGATACTTCATGGGCCACGGATGTAAAAAGCAGAGGCTCACTAGCACAGAAGCCATACGAGAGCTGTTTTGAGATCTAAAACTGCTTAACTCAAAGCTCCGATCTAAAGCCTAACAAAGTAAACAGCAGTCATTAAGCACTGTGATGCTGGTGTGCTTAAGCCCTCACTGGGTACTACTGTACCCATGACAGAAGTGGGACAACATCATTTTCTGAATTTACAACCTGGAACAAGTCAGTTGCCTACCTACATAGTTCTTACAACTAGTGTATTAATGACAAGCTACTGCAATAGCCAAGTCCATAATTACTTTAAAATTGCTCTCCGTGCCTAGCTTGATGGCCAGGAGGTTGTTAAACAGTCATCAGAGCCCTTGGCTCATAGTTCCCAAGTTACTGCACGTAAGCACATGCCATGTTCTCCTCGATGGAAGAAGAGAAGGAAGTACAAAATGCAGCCTTCACAGGGCCTCCTCCTTCTACAGCAGGGAATTCAAATGTGCCAATACCAACTTTCAGAATGGCTCCAGGGTGATTCATCTCCAGGGACAGGAGAGCACAATGCATATGGAACAGAGAAAAAGGAGAGAACCCATGCTCACCTGAGCGGGATGCCACTAACATGAAAGCTCCACATGAGCATATAGAGGAGGTGGAAGCTAGGATTTCCAAAATCAAAGGCCAAAATCTATCAGTCACTGTGAATCAAACACATCTTTCTTCAAACGTATTCTAAGCCAATATAATCCCTTTGCTTGTCTAATTGGCAAGAAGCACCTACTCCAAGAAAGCACATGGGCTAGGTTTGCAGAAGCAGAGCAAGCAGAGCAGTGTGGCTTACTTGCATATGGTAATAAAATCTTGTTTAGCATTCCAGATGAAAATAGCAGTACCAGTACCAGCGGTAGTATACTGGTACAAAGTTTCTAAACACAGTATCACGTACTCTAGAGAAGATGTCTCTGTTGTGGAAATGCTGATCCCATGTCTCTGCCAAGATTATAGCTTTGCCTGCCAAGTACTCACCCCTGCCTTTGTTTCAAAATCGTGTCATTTTAGTGCTCACTTTAGCATGAGTATGAATCAGCTTTACACCTCTTTTTATATGGTGTACTACTCCTGCACAGCAAATAAAACCCCGTAACTAGATGTATAGAGATTCTGTAGCAGTCAAAGTACAAAATCAACAGCTACTCAACTTAGATCCATGCAGGACTTGAATTCTGGTCCCCCAGCGATGTAACTAGATCATTACACATCGTTTAGTTTCCACAAATCCATCTTTATAAAGCAGCGAGTACAGCAGCACTCATGAACGTTGTCAGGTTCTAGTTTTGATAGCGCCATTCGCATTTCAAACACACACGGATGCACGCGCGTGTGCACACGCGCAGCGCATTAACTGAGTGCCAGCATCGAGCGCACAGACTCTCGTCTGCAGCAGGATGAGCAGCTCTCTCGAAAAGCAGTGGCACTTTATGGAACAACTGAAAAGGTGGGAGAAAGAGTCGCAGCACGTTCTCAGGCACGATGTTTTTACGCATGCAATGCACAGAAATCCACCTTCCAGCTTTGACTGCTCAGCTACAGAGCCTACTGAAATGAAGCCATGCACTAAATAGATGCATGCCAGCCTGTGCCAGCAGACCGCAGTCTCCAGCCCCTTCCCTCCAGCAGGGTGGGCAGGGGAAGCTGTCATGCACCCAACAGCTCCTTTCATGAACCACATTTTCATTTTACTTCACAGGTGGCTGTGGCTCCAAGAGTACCTCGCTAGCTCCCACCAACTCCCCCAAACCCCAGTGCCCCTCACAGTATCTACACTACACTCAAGATAATACCAGCAAATAATAATTCGGAGAAAATTAGCGCTTAGAGAAGTTAGCTCACAGCAAGTTTCAATCTTCTGTCTGTATTCCCCAAATAAACAGAAAACATAAAAGGATTTAAGGTAATAAATAATCTGGGATATAGAGACAAAAAAAGGCAGAAAAAAAGCTGCATTTGTATGCCCACTGTGTTGAACTTCACCAGTCGGTATACCAAAATAGAAGTTTCTGCCGAACTTTAATGTCTGCTGCCAAGAACGTATTTTGCAAGCCATCCTCTGATTTCAGACCGATAAAGTCATAATTGTCAGAAAAACTTCATTGTACATGAGAGCAAAATATTTAAACAACTAAAAGTTTGCTTAGCCTGTTACAGCACGTTCCATTTCATAAATATATTTAAATGATATTATAATGGTCTTTGAGAAGATAATGAAGTTACAGTGATAACAGCACAGTCGAAAGTCATCTACAAGCACCAAGAGATTCATAAAGAAACAGCCTCAACACAAAGTCCCACTTTTGTAATAGATATGATGAGGCAACTGTTTAGATCAGCACCAGTACAAACGACTACCTACCTCTTGGGACAGGAAGGGAATGACTTGTGCACATATAGCGTTCAGCCTCTTGACAATTTCTGCCTGCAAGTGACGAGAAGAAAGAAGTTCAATTATATAAATACTCAGATGCGATGCTCATCCACAAACACAGAAGACATACATTTGTTTGTTTGTTTTTTTCCATCTCTAGTCATCCTCTGGCCAGGACAGATTATCAAAATAACAAAAGTACTTGGACACCAATTCAACAATACCTAGGAAGCTAGTCATTTCTGGCTAAAACGTTTTCCTTAAAAAGCACAGTTTAGAACTGACAGAAAGAAAAGTTAATGCTGATTATGCAATCAAGGGCATTTTAAAAAAAAAAAAATCTTCAGGAGATGTAACAAAAACCATACAAAAAATACTGTGTATCAAACTAAATTCTCCTAAGAGGCAAAAAGAAAGATCATTTCAAATTACAGCAATGCCACTGTAAGTGAAGGGAACAAATAAACCAATTACTTCTATACTATCACTGCATATCATGAGAAAATTAGCAACACAATATACACCTTCACTGATAATCATTCTACCACATATTTTAGAAAAGGATACTGCAGTCTTGTAGCATATTTATGCTGTTATCAAACCCGAGGTTTATAGCAGTTACTTTCATGTTGCAATTGTGATCAGAAATGAATAATATACAATGTTTTATTTCCATACTGGAGATCAGGTCTTATTCTGTGTATTTAATCTGCAATTCTCAATAGAAACAGGGGAGATCTGGAGAGATAACACAAGAATTACAGCTCCAGAAACAGACTATTTAAACCATGCAGACTTTCTTGCAATAAATCGTAACTTTCTTATAATAAATTGTAAGCAGGGTCAGTTCCTCATTATACAGTAGGACAGAACGCTCTCTTGCAAAGTCACTAACTGTGTGACGAAGACATACAAACTTTTTCAATTTATGCTTCCTTCTTTTAACAGCAACCCTTCCAGCCTTTTTGCTATGCTGCCTTCTAAATTGTGAATGCTTCGAAAAGAACCTACACAACAGAAAGGCTCAGAACTAGCAGTAAAAAAAAAAAAGCCAGAACCACTTATAAAATAAATCTGGGTTCAAGGAATATTACAGTTACACAGCTGCATAACCAGAAGACATGGTACGCTAGAGGTAAGGGCACATGCGAAAGTAACTCTGCCCCCTTGTGCATACTGTGATACACTCGACTTAACACACACTACTTTGCAATACAATTTCTTCATTTCTCTGAAAACCATCTAAACTCCAGTGGGCTATTTATACAGCAATTTCTATGCTACACTGTCCCAGAATATACTCCCTGGTCTTTACTGTTTACGCAAGTTCTCATCTCATTAAAGTTATGCATTTTAAAACATTTTTTACATTCAACTACTACACCTTTTCTGTTTATTTGGCAGCACAGGTACTTTAAAAGGACACTTGAGGATATGTTCTGTTCACGACAAAGCTAAATTACCTGCTAATTTCAAAGGTCTATATGTGCCTACAATATCAGATATCCCACAATGTAAAACTTAAATACCCCTTTAAATAGATGATGTTCACTATACTAGTTGACACAGAGATTTATGAACTGCTTGTTACACAGAGCAGTACAGGGAGCGATAAGATGTGTGCATCTAAGCTTCAGCCAGAGAGGCTACACGATCCAATACGGCATTACATGAGAAACAATATTTGATTAAGGAACTGTAGACCATAATAGTACCTGTGCTGTAGTGGTTCAGGCATCATTAATTTAGTCAT